TTCCCTACCCTCCCCCTCCCTGCAGTGGAGAGTGAATAAACTTGGAAGTCGGAGAAGGCTGGGTTCCAGTCCCGACTGGAGAGTTTCATGACTTTGGGCAGGTTGGCATCTCTGAGCTCTGCTTTCCTTCTCTGTAAGCAAGATGGCGGCAGCTAGCCCCGATGCCGCCCTCCCACATGGAGCACTGAGCCAAGCACGTCCTTACTGCCACAGCAGGAAGCCCCACAAAGCAACGTGTGGTTGTATCTCCGGCTTACAAATGAGGGCCTCGAGGTACAGAGAGGGAGGGAGTAGCCTGCCACTAGGACTGGAACCCTTCTCGCGTGCCACCTGCTCACCAAATCCATCTGGTGGGAGTGCAGAGGGTTAGGTGCCTGCTACATGAGAGGCACATGGGCGTAAAGGCCAAGACACTTATGGGCCATGCTGGGATTCCAGATAAGACGGGACTGGGGGGGAGGTGTGTGGGGAGACAGGATGAAATCAGGGTAAGCACAGTGCTGTTCAGAGGGTTGGAAACTTGTAACGCTCAGGTAACTGGAATTTTCTGGAATCCTGCAATACATTCCCAACTAGTTCCATTGCTTTGATTTGCCCCTTTGATAGTTTTTTGTTTTTTAATTTGCTATAGGATATATGTGCACTCACCAGAGAGGGACGGAGAAAGAAAATGAGAAAGATCCTCCAGAGAGATGGTTATGCTACAACCTCTCCTCCATTCTCCTCTCAGGGTTTCGAGCACACACGCACATGAGCCCAGTGTGCTTTTCAATCCACCGGGTCAGGGACAAGAACCATGCAATTGCTCATGTGGAATTCAGTCACCTTAACCACCAGGCTACCTGCTGGCCAGTGATTCATGTCTCTCTTTGAAAAGCCACTCTAAAACATGTTGATGATCTTATTTAACACTCCCGATGTTTCTTGACAATATAAATGGTAAAGGAGACTCTAGAACAGAAAGCCCTATAGACTAGAAAGACTTATGAGACAACCAAAAGCTCTCGGTGAAACTTGTTTGGCTCTTGATTCAAATAAAACTGTTTAAAAAAAATTTTTTGAGGGGCCAGCAGGTGGTAAAGTGGTTGAGGTGCTGGACTCCCACAGGGTTGACCATGGTTTGAATCCTGGATCCAGTGGCTTAAAACATGTCAGGCATGTGTGCATGCATGCCCCAGATCCTGAGAGGAGATGGGGGAGAAGGGACTGTGGTGTGGCCATCCCCCTGGGGGATGATTTCTCACTTTGTCTCTATGTCTCTCTCTGTCTCTCTGGCA